CTCCACTGATGGTGTCCCTTTAGATGATCCCACGGTCTGTCGCGAGCTGGTGGGTTGTTTAGTTTATTTGACTGTCACTCGCCCTGATCTTGCTTATGCTATTCATGTGATTAGTTAATTTGTTTCTGCTCCTCACTCTACTCATTAGGCTACTTTGGTTCGCATTCTTCGCTATCTCCGAGGTACCATCTTTCAGGGCTTGTTGTTGTCCTCTACTTCCTCTTTAGACTTGGTGGCCTACGCTGATTCTGATTGGGCTGGTGATGTTAATGATCGCAAGTCCACCTCTGGTTTCTGTACGTTTCTTGGCAATTTCTTGATCTCTTGGAAAGCAAGAAACAAACTGTTGTTGCTCGCTTTACTGCCGAAGCTGAGTACCGTGCTATGGCTCATGCTACTCCTGAGCTTGTTTGGCTTCGTTGCCTTCTCTCTGATTTGGGTGTCCCTCAGGCTTCTCCGACCTCTCTCTATTGTGACAACCATAGTGTTATTCAGATTGCCCACAATATTGTCTTCCATGAACGGACGAAACACATTGAGATTGATTGTCACTTTGTTCGCCAGTATCTGCAGTTTGGCTCTATCTCGCTTCCTTTCGTCTCCTCGGCTTTGCAACTTACGGACTTCTTCACCAAGACTCACACTACCGTTTGGTTTCAATTTCTTCTTAGCAAACTCTCAGTGTTTTCTGCTCAAACACCTTGAGTTTGAGCGGGGGTGTGAGAATATATTGTGTATATATGGCATTGTGTGTATTTATGGCATTGTGTATATTAAGAATTAGGTGTAAATTAGGCATATAGGCGTATTTCCTTTCTCAATCTTTCCTTGTTCAACCATAGCTTAGGGCTATATAAACTAGTGACTACTTTATAACACAACATAATTGAATATACAAGTTTATTCAGAATCTTACAGTACTAACCCTTCTTTGCAGGCTTCTCCTATTACTTCCACTGTTCGCCCGGTGACCATTTCGGACGAGGTTGAGAATGAGGTTGTCCCCCTTCCTCCTCAACCTTTGACTCCTCCCCTATTGCAAGTATACACTCGTAGCCCACGCACTCTGCCCCCCTGTCGCCTCTCTAATCTCTGAGTTAGGTAACTCTTCTTCTTTAGCTACTCCTCCACCTCCGCGTCATAACCCACATCAGGATCGACATCCTCCAAATCGTTTAAGTTATTTAAGTAGTACTAATCATCCTATTTTCCAGTATCTTTCCTATGACAGGGTTTTCCCTTCTTACCGTTCTTTTCTTAGTAAGCTTGAGTCAGAATCTATTCCTCGTTCTGTGTCTGAGGGCTTTCAAAATCCCAAATAATTGGCGGCTATGCAGACTGAGATGGCGGCCTTAGAACAGAATTGGTTCCAAATAGGTGTTCACCATAAAGCCCGCTTGGTGGCCAAACGTTTCACACAGATTCCTAGCAAGGATTTTGGTGCACTTTTGCCTCTATCGCCAAGCTTACTTTTGTACATCTCCTTATCTTCCTTGCAGCATCTCATTCTTGGCCTCTTCATCAGCTTAATGTCAAGAATGCATTTCTCCATGGAGATCTTCTTGAGACAATTTACATGGCTCCTCCACCCGATTTTCGGGCTGAGTGGGAGGATTCGAAAAATGTGTGCCGGTTATGTAAATCCTTGTATAGTCTGAAACAGTCTCCACGAGAATGGTTTGGTCGCTTCAGTCTGTTATTATATCTATGAGCTTTGTTCAGTGCCACTCCGATCACATTTATTTCATTCGTCGGAATTCTGCAGGTCAGTGCATAATCTTGTTAGTTTATGTGGATGATATTATTCTAACAGGTGATGACTTTGTCAATATTGGTTAAGCAAAGGAGGACTTGGGCCAAACTTTTGATATTAAGGATCTGGGATGTCTCAAATATTTTCTGGGAATTGAGGTGGCTTGCTCAAGGGAGGGGATGTCCTTGTCTCAAATATTTTAGGATGCTGGTATATTAGGGTGTAAACCTGCTTTTACCCCTATGGATCCTAATGTCAAACTCACATCAAAGCCTGGTGAGTTGCTAGATGACCGAGGCATGTAGCAGCGTCTTGTTGGACACCTCATTTATTTGCCCAACACTAACTCTAGACCTGACTTGACATTTGCAATTAGTGTTGTGAGTCAATTCATGCATGCACCTCGTAAAGAACACCTCGACGCAGTTCATTGTATTTTGAGGTATTTGAAGACTTCTACTGGCTTGGGATTATTCTTTACCGCTGGTCTCCAATCTGGGCTCTCCTGTTTCACCGATGCAAACTATGAAGGATATAGGATTGATTGGTGTTTCACTTCTGATTTCTGTACTTTCTATGGTGATCATCTTATCTCATGGAAATGTAAAAAGCAGGCGGTGGTTTCTAGGTCTTTGCAAAGGCTGAGTATCGAGCTATGGCACATGGGACGTGAGATTCTTGGATTCGCTCTATTCTGGCATAGTTGGGTTTTGAGGAGACTATTCCTTCATCTTTATTTTGTGATAACAAATCTGGCATGATGTTATCATATAATTTTGTGCTTCATGAGCGTACTAAGCATATCGAGGTTGACATACATTTCATTCGAGAAAAGGTTTGGACTGGCATTGTGAATTCATCCTTTGTCTCTTTTTCTCAACAGTTGGCAGATGTGTTCACAAAATCTGTGGGACCAACTTTGCTTCAGTCTTCCATTGGCAAACTGCGTTTGTTGAATATCTTCATGCCAGCTTGGAGAAAGAGTGTTGAATATAGAAATCAAAATATTATGTTTGAATATGGAAATTAGAATAGGAATTATTTTGATTATAGGAATCTTACCTTGTATATATTGTTTCCTAAATTGTATCATCAATATATTATATATACATGGCCTCTACCTCATTGATTTGTAAGCCAAATAATTCTTTCCATTCTTTTTTACGCACACACATACACACATTCTCGGAATTTTCAAACATTCCTTGCACTTGGCCTCAGCCTAAGTCGAGTGCAATTCCTCACACCTTACCTTAGCACAGGTTGAGTGACATTCCAGCCATTTCCGGTTACCACCTGAAGGAATCAGTAATCCCATTTAATAGGTTGAATTCGGGATTTCCCAGTTAGCACCCGGAGGATCTGTAATCCTATCAATAGGTTCAATATTCCACAACTTGCCCCGTAAGTACAACACAACAACATTCTTCCCCAACGAAGTGCCAACATAACCATTACCCAAGTTACTTTAATTTGAGTTCAAACTTCATAGCATTCCTCCCAAAAAGAGTAACAATAGAATCACTTTTTAATTCCTAATCATGATTCCTCAATTCCTCCCTTCCCTTTTCCCTTACTCCAAGGTCTTACCCTTCATTTCTAAATTTGTAATCTCAAACACAGTCTCAAATGTGTATAACACTAACAAATTCATCAATTTAAACAACACGTGCATCATGTATGATTAGTTCATTTTCCCTTCTACACTACAACATTATACATTCTAAAATTCCAAGTTATAAGCTGGCATCAATGTTCTCCACTCCAAATGAATATCTAGCACCTTAACATACTCAATTTCGATAATCGTATTCAACTTTCCAACCTGCTCATTTATGATTCGAAACCCCCAATTTCCCATGTTATTTTCATTCCTCAAATGAGTTCAACTGTACCAGTTTCACCACTCAATATCACCAATTACAAACCCACATGATAGTAAATTAATTCAACAAATTCCTCAAAATGAGTAGATTAATATTCCTCAATAATTGAGTTCCAACAACACTCCATATATATATATATATTCGAAACATCAAGGGTTATAACAAAATCCTAACATGCTTAAATTTGGGGGTTTTACTCCAACATGTTCCATAACAATTAAAACTGTCACATGCTCAGCTACATTATCAATCACAATATTAAACTATAAAATTGAGAATACATGCAAAGGATTTACTAAAACCCCTAACATGATGGATCACAAAATATAGCAAATAAACTAAGAAAAACATACTAGCATGTAAAAGAAGAGAATAAAGTTCCTACCACAACCAAAGAGAGAAAAGAGAGAAAACCCTAGGTAATAATGAAACTTGACGAAACGAAAATCCAGAACAGTAGTAACGTAGTCCTCAACAAGATCTACAACTTTAACTCTCCAGTGGAAGGCTGATTCTAACTCAAGGTAGATGAAACCCAAGCTCGAAGTTCTTCAACAATGGTGGAAGTAGAGAGAAAAGAGAGGTGTAGAGAAAGAGAGAGTAAAGTTGAAATGATTTATTCTGAGTGAAAAATGTGCCTATGAACAAAAAGTGGGTCAAAATGAGTGGAGCGGTTGACATCACCTCGCACTAAGTCAAATCCATTGCACCGCTCGAGTGGTCTCATAATCTCCCAGATTCTGCATCTCTGTAGAAGAAGAAAAGCTGCAAGGTCTGCTAGACTCCTCGAACGGTCATTTCACCTCTCGAGCGGTGAACCCTAGTTTGCAGCTCCTGAGCCTCTGAAACCACATCTTGCAATCTAAACAACCACTCGAGTGAACATTTCACTGCTCGAATGGTGAACGCAACCTTATGTCCTCCAAACAAGGTCAAACTCAAGCACGAGACTCCAAAAACTATCACCAATTACAGAAACAAAAATGCAACACCATATATGTAATAAACGAGGTTCAATCACATTCTTACAACCTCGGAAACAAAAAAGCAAACAAACAACCGACTCCGTAAGTTGTGCCAATCCATGGATCCAATTACAAATAGTCCAGACCCAGAGAAATGTGCTTAAGAGTTGGGTTTGGAAACTTGGAACATTACAATAAGAAATTGTTAAGGCTAGATAGAGTGCTCATCACCAAATGAGCTAACCATCTTTACGGAGGCTAATACGCCCATGAGCAGAGATATTCTATCATGCTTCCTCAAAATTATTTAACAAGAGTTCCTCGGGGAAATATTTCCTCAAACAAAACCCTGAAGTAATGTATGCCCACAAATATAGGTTACAATGACATGCATACCTCTTCAACAATCCTGTAAACTTCAACAACTGAACTTCCATGTCGCTGCTGAGGTGATACCGGTTCCCAACGCTGTAAAATACAACATGCACTAAGCCACATTAGGAACAAAAGTTAACTAAATATATGAACAGAGAAAGAAATCAGCTAAACAGCAAACCTGGAAACTAAAATATGTGATTTAAAGAAGAAATAAGCAAGTTTAAGCAATGGTGGAAGAAGGGGCAGCAAAAATACACAAGCATGATAATGGGAAACAACAAAACAGCAACCAGTGTTCATTTGTTTGGGTCTAGTTCTTGAATACTAGATAATTACCAACTAGAATAGCATTCTTGCAATCATCATTGAAGGAGGCGATGGGGAGACAGAAACCCTCAAATTGGCATACTGGATAATTGTACAACCAATCTTAGCAACAGTAGTAACTACAGAATGACATTTTTTACTTTAGCATTAGATCAAAATTTTCCAAGAAATGGCAGTACCTAAGAAAGAAACAGAAGCCAGTACATGAACACCAATCACCGACATTTTTGGCCTAATATCTGAATATGAACAAAGCATGAATGAAGAAGAAGATTATGAGAGAAATGCACTAAATATGATGCCACAAAGTTAAATAATACTGTGGCATAATGGGTGAAATGTGGAGCAACAACAAACTGACAAAACATGCGACTAGCACGAGCGAAATCAAGCTGAAGGAGAGTGAGAAGGTGCTTGCCATTACTACCTCAAAGCTTCACATGAAGCATTACAGGAGTAAGAGAAGTATCAGACTATGAGTGTCTGCTCAACAAGAACTGGAGATCAAATTGGCAACATATTTTTGTTCAAAAAGAAAATAATTGTGGACTGTTGGCAACCTCAAGAAGTTAAAATCTAAGTCTTTCTATATCTGTGATGAATACTTGGCATACTAAATGTGAGGAGTAATTATTTTAACAAACATGACCTGTCTCATTTTCTTCACATCAAAAAGGGTGAATTGCAATGATCTCCCTTGAGGTATGGGAATCAAAAAAAAAAAAAAAAACCACTAAGGTTTTGAAAACCTACAATTACCTCCCTTGTCGTGATACAGAACTAACACACCAGGATAAAAAGATAATAATAGATATTATAAAAAAAAAAAAAAATTAATAGAAAAAGTATTGTATTTGATAGGATTAGCTATGTACCACAAACATTCTACATGTTTAAGACATTATAATAATTACATGACAAGTGACAATCAAGTCAAATAACCAATCTGGTTGTAGCACTACAAGAAAACACTCCATATAAAACCTAACCTAGTCCACTGTTTCCCAAACAAGTCTACTTTCTCTCTCTACTCATCTCTAACTCTTTGCTATTCTCTCTCTATTCCAATTAGGGGTGTAACTTGGGCAGGCTTAAGCCAAGCAACCCGGGCCCATCCGGAAATTTTTTAGGGCTTGGGAAACATATATTTGAATTAGGTGAGGGCTTAGACAGAAATTCAGAAGACCGAATTAAATTTGGACAGGCTTCGTCAGAGACACCAAACAACGTGAAGCCTGAATTGTATATATAAATATATATATATATATATAATAATTAAATATACAAGTAAATTATTAGCCGTTAGATGATATTAAAATAATTTAAATCGTTAGATCATATTCACTATATACTGTGTTACATGGATTCGCCGGTTTTAGCCGGAGTACCCGTGTCAACACGACATGACACAGGTACAAGTGCGGCATTTGAGTCAGACACAGCACCTTTGTGATGGACTTGGCTGATCGCAGATGACAAAGACAAAGATAAAGACAGACGAGTTTGCTATGGGGAACCGACGAAGACGAAGAACGAGGAGGATCAAAGACAAACCTATATGGCATTGATTTGAAGCCGCATATGATGAACTTCACGATTTCTACGCTTGTAACGTTGGGTGGCTTAGGGTTTTTCAATTCAGTTCACATCTGAACTCATTTCAGTTTTATTTTGGTAATAGGCTAGGGTTTCATGAATATGTATATATGTTTAAACCCAAATGCCCAACCCAAAAGATGATCCAATATAAAATAAAAATGTTCAGCCCTCATATTAAAAAAATAATAAAAATAAATAATTAATTAAAACCTAGGCCCTATTAAATAACAAACTTGCTTACGCCTATTAATATTCAGTCCAATAATATTGCTTTTAATAATATTACATTACTTCTTTTTAGGCCTTTCCTCTTTAAATTGTTTTGCTATTGCTATTGCTAATTAAATCAAATGTGTAAATATCAACTTTAAATTCATCATATATTTTTAAAAATATATACAAATAATCGTATCCCGTACCTGTATCCAACTTTTTCTCCATGTGCCCATATCCAAAAAATAAAAATGGAAAATCCAAGGCCTTTCCTCTTTAAACTGTTTTGCTATTACTATTGTTAATTAGATCTAATGTGTAATTAATTACCTTTAAAATCATCATATATATATAAATAAATGTATCTCTGTACCGGTATCCAACTTTTTATCCGTGCCCATATTCTAAAATCAGGAAAAAAAAAAATGGAGAATTCAACTCTTGGACACGTATCCATGTCCGACACTTCAGCCGAGTCCATGTAACATAGACTATATGTATTATATACACAACACAACACAAAATCTAACCTCAATTTTTTTTCACTCATAAATTGCAAAGACCACTACGGCACATTGGGTCTTCAATCCTTATCCTTCTTCTCTCCATCTCTCTCACATTAGATAAATTAATTGTTTTGATGTTATTAAAGATTCTACCAAAAAAATAATAATACTCTAATTTTACAAATCAATCAACCTAGCTTTCACGCGCGCACGCCCACACACACAACCAAAAAAAAGTGCAATTCAGGCACTTCACACAACTCGAACCTAACTCGGGTCGGGCTTAGGCAAACAACCTCAGGTGGCAAGTCGGGATTGGAAAGGCCTAAGCAACTCTCAGTACAACTCGAGCTAGGCTTAGCCAACCTCTTAAACCACCCGAGTTGCACTTACCACCATTAACGCTACCCACTCCACCACCACCATCTTACCACAACCACCAACACCCACTACCATTTCCAACCAAAACCACACCCACACCCACGGATATATAATTAACATCTCCAGTTAAAGCTTCATCCATGACCACTACGAAACCCCTACTACAACCTCCATGTCGACTCCTTTCACTAACCACATTCAACACAACCATCCATATTCTCTCTAAAATCTCACTAAAAAACTCTCCACATTAAATGTGAGAACCTAAATATAAAAATAAAATGAATAATTAAATAATAATAATTTTACAAACCTCAAATGTTTTGCTTATAAATATTAAAGTGCAAATTAAATATTATTGGAGTGTGTTTTAATTAAGTTTAAGCTTTAATAAATTTATGATGCAGGTCTATAATGACAATATAAGGTTTTAGTAATATATGTAAAAAAAAAAAATATGTACTAAATATAATTTATCAACTAATGTTATTTTATTTTGACTAATAAGGCGAAGAATTATAAAACAAATAAAATAGTTAGTAGGTCATTTTGAAAATTTATTATAGGAGAATAAAACCCTAATGGTGAGATATCGTTTCTTTTCTAAACTACCCTAGCAGCAGCCGTGAGAAAGAGAGAAAAGAAAGCGAAGGGTGTCATTTGTGAAGGAAATTAAAGGAGTAGGAGCTATTATACAGGTAAATATTTTTATATATAAACATGTATGTTGTTTTCTTTAAATAAGACCATGGTAATCATTGAGTTGCTTAAGTCATTGTTTTGTGTGGAGGGTGTCATTTGTGAAGGAAATTAAAGAAGGAATAGGAGTTGTTGCACAGGTAAATATTTTTATATATAAACATGTACGTTGTTTTCTTTAAATAAGACCATGGTAATCATTGACTTGTTGAAGTCATTGTTTTGTGTAGATTATGGATGGTGGTGTGAAGCTAGGGGTTGGTGATGGGAAGTTTTGGGTTACAATGGTGGATGGAAATTCTTGATCCTAAAATCACAAACTTTAAAAATCAAGAAACTATATCAAACGAATGAATTTTGAACTGAAATTTTTACTGTAACTTTATTACATATTGAATTTCATATTAGAATTTTTTCACAATTTTTGGGAGTCAAAATCCATAAAAATTGATGGGTTCAAATCTGTCCAGAAAACTAGTGTATAACAATAACTTTGGGAGTGCCATTTTCTTTGGGTATAAATCTGAAAATTATCAAATCAGTGTCATTAGAACTGATTATGAGTCTAGTTTCTTACATTTTTTGCCTTGCATTGATTTCTCATGTATATTATTGTATATTAAGAGAACCATCACTTTGTTTAAAGTGCTGCAAAAAACGACCTGTTTGGACATAATTAATTGTAAATAATTATTTTGATAAGTAAACCAAGTGAAACCACTTGGGTTTGAAACTTAAGATATACTAGTTAATATCTGGAGGATTTTGAAATTTTTTCGAACGGCGTAGAGTGGGTTTTTAATTTTCAAAGTTAGTGAATATATTAGGAAAACTTGTTTAAAATTCTGTTTTATCTTAAAGTTACTTTTAATTAAGTTTCGATCTAAACCCATGTCTTGGATAATTTTAGACCTTGAAGAACATAAACTTAGGTAATTTTTGAGAGTAAAAATGAGTTGGATTGAGCCGTGTTAATGCACTTTACTTTGGGATTACTTAGTTTATTATTCCTTATAGTATTTTTCAATTAGCAGTGACTTGTAGTTTTCATACTTGGTTCAGGGCACTAGTTGGACTTTCATACTCTATTCGAGGATTGCATTATTTCGTTTTTAGGTGAATAGTTGCATGTAACATATTTTTATAAATGTTCCCCCCACCCTAAACAGTTGAAAAATTAAATTTTTATTTTAGGACTAAACTGTTTTGATAAAATTATTATATTATCAATAGAATTAAATTATTTCTGAAACATGCGTAAACTTGGCATATTGTAAACTATTTGTTATGGTCTCTTGTTTATAATGGTGAACTACCATATTTTGCAAAACTGAATTGTATTAATTATTGGGACCATCTATGGCCTCGTTTGGGAAGTGGCTATTTTAGTAGGCTATTTTAGTTTTTGTGTTTGGGAAGATGAGATGAATTTTTAGTTGAGTAGTTGTATTGGAAAGTGTGTTGAAATGATGTTTGAATTTAAAATGACAAATTTGTCCCTGAATTATAATTTTTTAAAATGATGTGAAGGGGTAAAATGATAATTTAGCCGTTGATGATGACTTTTGAGGCTGTGACAGTGTAGGCTACGCCTACACTGTCCGGACTGCAGCCTTTTTTTTTTTTTTTGCAAACCTGTAAACAGTGTTGCTTTTGGGCTTTTTTCTCAAACAGCGCCTATATATAAAAAGTCTAGAGAATTTTATTTCTCTGTGTATGGGGACTCTGACCACTAGGGAACAAATCCGGGTTGGGCTGTGATGAATCTAGTGCTCAACGATTGTAAGGAAAGACCTGGGCTAGACTAGGTGACCTTCAATTAGATTGTCTTAGAGAAAAGACTCAGGTTGCCACCCTGAAGATGACTCTTGGTTCGATATTGGATCCAATGGGCTTATTGTCTTGAGAACTTTGTGACATGTTACTCGTTAATCATGGTACCCAACTTATTGATGATTATGTTGTAATCTGTTTTAAGTGAAAAATGTCATTTGTTATGTTCTTGAGAGACATGAGTATTTTTAACTGTTGAATTGTGGAACCTTCTTTTTGAAACAGGTTGTCTTTATCAAAACTGTATGCCAATCTAGTTTCTGTGATATATATCTTATTTTGGAATTCAAACCTATTTTCAAAACTGTATTTACTATCCATACTTCTACTCACTAAGCTATCAGCTGACTTAGTTGTTTATCATTTCCAAGTGCTAGAAGGACTTACAGGGGACTCATGGCGTAACGGGAACTCAATTGCATGGACCTCTAGGACATTCATTTTTTTTTATTTTTTTATTTTTATGTTTGTTTTTCAAAGTGTTATGTCAATTTTGTGCGTACTTTTTGATTGAGATTCATTAAGGATTATTTTGTTATGTGGACTGGTTGTGTCCCATTTGTTTGGATGGTATTGATTAGGGTTGGTTTTGCCTGTTTATACTTCTGACATGTCACTGGATTGAGTTTTGATTTATTTATATCTGGACTATTATTACATTTATTCTATGTGATTATGGATTCATGTTTAGACTTATGTGTGCCTTGGGCTAAGGCCTTGTGAGTCACGGCCGGTCATGCTTGGGTTTGGGGTGTGACATTAAAACCATAGGATTCCCTTTTTGTTTCTCTCTTTGTATCTATATGGTATATACACAATCATATCACCCCTCACCTTTGCCTTTACCCATCATTATTGACCACCACCCCCCATCTACAACCTAAACAGCCTAGCCATTGTTGTCATCTTCAACCACAATCACCAACCAAAACCTCCAATCATTGTAAACACCAACATCAACAAGAAATCCCAGATACACTGGCCATTTCAATCAAAAAAACTATGATTTGTTTAGCAATATGGGATACAAACTCTAAAAAAAACTGCAATGGGCCTTTTTCCAAATATATATACCATACCTCAATGGTTATTGATGTCGGTATCAAACGTGAAACAGAGGTGGATTTAAGAAGGTGGTAAATAGTGACAAAAAAAATGAGTTTAACAAGACAATGACGGTTATGGTACAGCTAAGATATGGGGGTGGCTCTAGTGATGGTGCTGTGGTAATTGTGGAATTTGTTGAAGGAAAGGTCAAGGTGGAAATATTTGGCAATGATGGTGGAGATTGTTGCAGCTTTTGAATGAAGTTTGTGATCGCAGCAGCACCCATCTATCATAATCATAATGGTGATTATACTAGATGCAAATTTATTCCATGCAACTTTCAGTGCAAGGAAAAAATTATCTTTCATTAAGAGGGCTACCACCTTCCTTTTCTCTCTCTTCCTCCCTTTCCCTCTCTTCATTTCTCTCACTACACACTACCTCTCGTTCTCCTCAATCACTCATTTTGTGAGACTAGTCTAGGGCAATGCCCAAAGCTAGTCGAGGTGTGAGAACTGAGAAGCAGCAGACCCAGCAGCTATAGTACTTGTCATCGTTGCATGGTTGCATATGATAATAGCGAGCCAGTTAAGCAAAAACTTAAACACACCGTGGGCAAATTTGACTGAGTGGTGTGGAGTTGCCTCTGGAAAAGCTTGAATGTTGTGAGCACAAAAGTTGGTTTTATTTGTTTTCCCGCGCTTACATTTGTTGCTAGGTTGTTGCAATTCACCCTGCTGACAACAAATTTAAGTGACCTAACTAAATTCTCAAACCAAGCAGGAGATACCTTTTTGAGACCATAAATATCCCAAGGATGCCAGCAAACATGCTAATAAGCATGAGAAAGGCAGTTGGTGGAAGAACATAAATCTCTTCAGTAAGATGACCATGAATATATATGTTCATCATGTGAAGCTGATAAAATTTGCTTTAATGACAAACACGACACAACAATAAGCTACCCCCTGAATGCAGTTTCTTTACTGCATAATGAACATAAACTTCTACAGTTAAATCTAATTGTGTAATTGATAGATCAAAAGTGCTGACAAAAAAATAAGTACTTATGTTTAAGAGGAAGAATACACTTTTAGAATATTTTCAGATTCAGAAGTCAAAATAATTTGATGTACACTAGCCAACAGAGTAGTATCACTGAGAACCATGGTTCCTTCTTTCGACATGAAACAATATATTTCACTATCCTCTGCAGCCTCACCAAGCAAGAAGCATAAACATTCATGTTCCACTAACACAATTATATAAAATACCATGAAATATTGAAATTCATCACAACTAATCCAATTCTTCAAATCAAAATGACAAAATCATTTCCAAAGTCAATACACTTTCTGTAACTATACAAGCCCCTTCCCCCCAACCACTAACTACACACAGAGGGATAGACATACAGAGAGAAATACACAACACAGTACATAACGAAGGACATACTTATTCATGAAAACAACTGTACGAACTAAAACCGTGCCAAACCCATTTCAAAAATTATTGTGGAAATGCCAGAAGCTTCTAAAATAAGTAAAACTAATAACATAAATGATTACCTCCTGTAGAATAGCCCGCTCAACCCAACTTAAAATTCTTCCAAGCTGTGAATTGATCCAGCGCAACACCAGTGTTCCAGAAATAGCTTCAATCTGAAACAGAAAAGGAAAATGTGAAAAGCTTTGTCAGAGGAAATTTATCAACATGAACAAAAATTATCACAGCCCATTTATGACAATTCTATCATTCTCTAGATAGTGAGAAAAGTAGAAAGTTGATAAACTGTCCACCTATAACAACAAAAACTCCCTGTTAGTTTACATAAAGATGCATAGATACAATGTCAAAAAAAAAAAAAAAAAACTATCTGGATCTCTGTTCATAAGGGAAAAAAAAAAAAGAAAGCAAAAACTATTATCAATGGCAAGTTTACCGGGCAAGCATACCGAAATTATCCACTAAACCACACACAACCAAAAAGGATAGCAGTAATAATTAACATCAGATGAAACAAAGAGCACAGAAAAGAAAGATTCAATATTCCACTAACTGAAATGCCCTCATATCACAGTCCTATCCAATGGATATATTTTTTAATTAATTTGCATATTGGTATTCTTGATTCAGGGGCTCCTGGTTGACTACTTACATTGGATATGTCTAGCGCTTGATTCTGTATACTCGAACTAATGTCATATACAATCTGTACAGTTTGTAGCCTTTCATAATTGCAATTTTGTAAAGTTGATGAATATGCTAATTGAAAGGGTACATGATACATGGGCTTACCTAGAACATCTAAGTAATAAGCAAACTTAAGGTACATTTCAGTCAGACATTCACCTTGCTTCACTCAGACACCTTATTCTAGACAACTTACCTTGCTTTGAGCCTTATTAACTATCATTTGAGTATCTAAAATTTCAACTATACAGCTCAGAAGATCAAAGAAAATAGTAAACAGAATTCATTTTAAAACATATGTTACAAACTTTGGATGTGCTTGACATGTACAGCAACAATGGATATGCAGAGCACACACATCCATGTACATGAATAGGTCATCAGAACATAAACCAGTCAGAAGAAGACATAACCATGATCATCCACAACGGAAAATATGGTCCCTCATACAACTGATCCTGAAATGATGTACTTAGAAATGTACAATATTTATTGACAATATATTTCCCTATCTTTTTTGTAGGAAATGGGAAGAAAATAATTCTGCTAGGATATGACTAAATTCTTTGGAATATCACAGCTGTAAATATTTAAATTTAGTCAATACTACACAATAGGAAAGTTTATATTGAAAATCAGAATTAGTAGCTAATTAGTCCCTATTTTTTTTTTATTTTTTTTTTTGATAAATAATTAGTCCCTATTTTTATGCCTTGTATCTCCTATAAATGGAGGTGTTGTGTACATTGTTTGATAGATGAGAATAAGAAATATTATTCTTTCTACCTTTCATGGTATCAAAGCTAAGGACTTATTCCCTGACCCTTCTGAGCAAATCCTAGAACGTGCTAGTCATCCTTCACCATGTCAGAAACCACATCTGAATCCACCGTTATTGCTTCACCGAAAAACATTGAGAAACATGCCCCCAACACTGATTCTCACTCAGTGCAAATCACTAGCATTAAGCTGAAAGGTGACAATTTCCTGCATTGGTCTTAGTCAATCCGGATGTACATTCGGGGCCTAGGAAAGATCGGATACTTGACAGGAGAGAAGAAGGCACCAACAAAAGAGGATTCGGCATATGCTATCTGGGATGCTGAAAACTCCATGGTCATGACATGGTTAGTGAATTCCATGGAAGAAGACATCAGCTCCAACTATATGTGTTATCCAACAGCCAAAGAACTCTGGGATAATGTCACCTAGATGTATTCGGATTTGGGAAATCAGTCCCAAATATGAGTTGACAATTAAACTTGGTGAAATTCGTGAAGGAGAGAACAGTGTCACCAAGTACTTCAATTCTCTGAAAAGGCTATGGCAAGATTTGGACATGTTCAATGATTATGAGTGGAAATCAACCGAGGACTGCAATCACAATAGAAAGATGGTGGAGGATCACCGTGTCTACAAATTCCTTGCCAGCTTAAACATCGAATTTGATGAAGTCAGAGGGAGAATAATTGGCCGCCAACCTCTGCCTCCTATTGGTGATGTCTTTGCCGAAGTTAGGAGAGAAGAAAGCCCCAGGAATGTTATGCTTGGAAAAAAGGGAGTTGTTGCACCTGTGGAAAACTCAGCCATGATTGCATCGGATGCAAGTGCAAACAAGGTTTTTAAACCACAGTAGAATGAAAAATCTCGAGTATGGTGTGATTATCACAATAAACCACGCCATACCCGGAAAAACTACTAGAAGATCCATGGGAAGCTTGCAAATTGGAAGAGCAGCAAATCAAGTGACAAATCAATTCATGCATCCTCCTATGCCAACGATATTGAAGCAAGTTTGTTCAATAAGAAGTAGATGGATCATCTTCTTAAACTGCTAAAATCCAATTCTTTATCCAGCACTCCTAGTGGTTCTCTTGCATAGACAAGTAGCAATCCTTAAGCTCTATCTTGTAGTCAAAATTCTGCCCCTTGGATCATTGATTCAGAGGCATCTAATCACATGACTTCTTTCTCTTCTTTATTCAATACTTATTTATCTTGTTCTGAAAGTGAAAGAGTTAGGATTGATGATGGCAGTTTCTCACCCATTGTAGGAAAATATCAAATAAAAATTTCAGAAAATATTACTCTCCACTTTGTCCTTCATGTTCCTAAACTGGCCTGCAATTTGTTGTCTGTCAATAAATTATCCAAAAACTCTTACTGTCATGTTGTTTTCTTTGACTCTCATTGTGAATTTCAGGACCGACACTTGGGGAGGATGATTGGCAGTGCTAGAATGATCAATGGTCTTTACTACTTTAATGATGATATATCCAACAATAAAACAACTCAAGGCTATTGTAGTAGTTTTAGTTCAATTTCGGCTCGTGAGCAAATAATGCTTTGGCATTTTAGACTAGGATAGCCTAGTTTTCCATATCTTAAACATTTGTTTCCTAACTTGTTTAAAAATTTGGATTGTTCTTCTTTTCAATGCGAAAGTTGTTATTTGTCTAAAAGCCATCGAACTATTTATCTTATAAAACCCTACCGTGCCTCTAAACCATTCTACTTAATTCACAGTGATGTGTGGGGTCCCTCCAAGGTTACCACCATGACTAGTATAAAGTGGTTTGTAACTTTTATAGATGATCACACTCGACTTTATTGGGTTTATTTGATGAATGACAAATTTGAAGTAAAAAACGTGTTTCAAGATTTTTACAAAATGGTTGACAATCAATTTCACTAAAAAATAAGTATTTTTCGATTTGATAATGGAAAAGAGTACTTCAATGAATATCTAGGGAATTGTTTAAGGGAAAAAGGTATATTTTTCATCAATGTACACATCATGACACTCAACAAAATGGTATCACCGAAAGAAAAAATAGGCATTTACTGGAAATAGCCCGAGCCATAATGCTCTCTATGCATGTTCCAAAATATCTATGGGAAGATGCCATTTTGACAGCCTCTTATTTAATTAACAAAATGCCTACCCAATATCACACCCCTAGAATATTTCAAAAAAACATTTCCTGATTGCAGAATTAATTCAGATTTGCCTTTAAAAAATTTTGGCTGTATTGTTTTCGTTCACATACCCAGCCGATTTCGATCCAAACTTGATCCTAGAGTGTTTTCATCAGGTATGCTCCAAACAAAAGGGGCTACAAGTGCTATAATCCTCAAACAAAAAAAAATTCGGGTGAGTATGGATGTCTCCTTTCTTGAAACTCAATCATATTTTACCAAAAATTCCCTTCAGGGGGAGAAAGAGAGAAAGGAAGAAAATTTTTGGCAGACAACTCCGGATCCCTTACCAAATCCTATTCTATTATCTTTATCCCTTGTTTTTGAAAAGCAAGCACAGCAAAAGCAAGCACAGCAAGAGGGTGTTCAAGACATGGAGAACGAAGGAAATCCCAGTCCAACTTCCCCAAACATAGAAGGCTCACAAATAGGGGGAGAAATACTACACTTGGAACAAACTGTTCCCGAACCTGAGATTTGGTTTATGCTCAGAAAAATACTCAGAGAAAAGGTAAAGACCAGCCAACCACTCTACCACAAAGCCAATCAGAATCTCTTGAAAAAGGTCCCTCGAGTAGTTCAGGTAATCCTAATCTGGTTCCTCCTTCATCCGTCTCTACATTTCCATTTCCTTTAGCGGTTTTACCTAATGTTATACCTGCAGATTATGATCTTCCTATAGCCATTAGGAAAGGAGCTCGAAAATGTACCCAACATTCCATTGCGAAATATTTATCCTATGATAAACTTTCCAATAGTCATAGAGCCTTTACTTCAAAAATATCTATTCTGTTTGTTACTAGAACTATTAAGGAAGCCTTGGATGATCTTAATTGGAAATCAGCAGTTATGGAAGAGATGAATGCTCTGGAAAAGAGCAGTACTTGGAAGTTAGTGAATCTGCCTAAGGACAAAAAGGTAGTAGGGTGCAAATGGATATTACAATGAAGTGCAAAGTTGATGGTAGCGTGGAAAGATATAAGCCGAAACTCGTGGCAAAAGGGTTTACTTAAACCCTCGGAATTGACTACCAACAAACCTTTGCTCCGGTTGCCAAGATGAACTCAAATCGGGTTTTATTGTCACTAGCCGTTAATTACAGCTGGCCTCTACATCAATTAGATGTAAAAAAATGCCTTCTTAAATGGAAATCTAGAAGAAGAGGTCTATATGAACCTACCTCTAGGTTTTGAGAAGTTTGGTGTAGATAAAGTCTACAAATTAAACAAGTCTCTATACGGCCTCAAACAATTCCCAAGGGCGTGGTTTAAACGCTTAGGGAAGGTTGTAAAAAACCTTGGATATAGTCAAAGCCAAGCAGGCCATACTATGTTCCATAAACACTTAAGAGAAGGTAAAGTAGCTATCTTGATTGTTGATGTAAATGACATAATTCTAACAGGTAATGATAGTGCCGAAAAATTGAAAAAGGGACTTGCTAAAGATTTCGAGATAAAGGACGTGGGAGCACTAAAATACTTTCTCGGAA